GCTATTATTGTCATAATTATTTGAAGTCAGTGAAACTCCATGTTACAAAGATAGCTGGTTTTTAAGTGATTGTGACAGTAGCTTAGTTTTCCAGGTTGAACTACCCTGCGGTGCAATTTGACTGATCTATTTGTCATTTCCCCTATGAGGCATATTAGTATGTGCACAAGACAGATGTAAAAGTGCATTATTTGAGCATCACTTATCCTCCATTTGAAAGTGTTGCCCACTTTGTCCTTGGTTTTTATCTCATTACTGCCAGATGTTATGTAGCCTGGAAATAATGAGTTTTAAATGTTAAAGGTAAATAGCAAAAATAGTAATAGCAAAAAAAGTTTGAGCTTGAAACTTTCTCTGCTTAGCCTGCACATACCTATGCATGTTTACCTGGAATTAAGCCCCACTGAGTTTAATAGGCCTTGCATCTTAGTAGTAGGGCTGTGCAGCAAACCTCTTCTTTGGAAAGTAAGTCTTACACATCCAAGTGGGACATTCTTTCTAGGGAAAAAATGCAAAATTGGGCCCAATTATCCTAGCAAACACGGTCTGTTTAACTGCAATCTTAGATCAAACTTGAGGTTAACCCATAATTGACACGGAACATCTGGAGATGTTGTGACATATTTCTAGCTAGGCAAGATAGTTATAGATGTAGGCATAAGTATAGGTGCAGGTAATCTTAATATTTTGTTTTAATAAGATTATCTCTCTGTTATACATCAGAAAATAATACAACATAACTAACTGACTTTGGTTCAAAGGACAGTGGAAAGTTTAGATGGCACAACTGTATTTTGAGTACCCCCCTGCATTTCTAGCTCTCCATAGGTTGCATAGTGTCAGTGGGAGGAGCCATACCTCTGAAGTCCACAGACCACCATTTGGTCCTCAACCAGTATATCTGTAGTATGTGAACCCAATTGCCACTCTTGGCAGGCATCTCGGAGCCAGCAGGTCCTACCTTCCAGAGAAGACCTTGAAGGCTCTGCAGTGGGTGTTGGGAAACTCAAGGAGAGGCAGAGGCCTTTGAAACACCCTCAAGGTCACTGCCCTCAGGTTCCCAGGAGAGCAGACATGTTTTGGGAAAGACAGGAGGGATCCAAGAAGGGGAGGAGGGAGAGCCTTTGCATTGCCTGGTCTCTGGCCCCATGACTAGGTGTCGGAAGAGACACGCTGCCCAGTTAGAGAGTTTGCATAGGTCTCGCTGGCTGGCCCTTCACCAGCAGGAACCACCTTGAGGGTGGAGACCACAGAGTTACTGAAACGAAGGATTTAGGGGAGAAGTTCCCAGTTTGGGTTCAACATTCTTATCATGAGCAGAAGCTTATCTCCCAGCTTAATAGAGGGCTTATAGAGTTACTTTGTCTTGTAGCTGCTGAAGTGCCAGTAACAATCTGCATTGCAAAGAGACTATTTGGAGCCTAAGGGCAAAAGGGGAAGGGCTGAGCTCACCAGCTGGAGCTATGACTGTGACTTCTCTAATTTCAGGCTTTCTTCAAATGGAGAAAGCCTCAGAAAAGAGGTGCCAACTACACGAACACTCCTCCAGCTAGCAACTTGGTTGACATAGGTTGCCTGCATCACACCTTTCCCTGCTGGGGAGGAAGCAGGGAGAGGAAACCTCCTGTTATCTCAGAGATTGTAGTGGGAATTCCCATGTATTCGTTCCATTCTGAGTTGAGGCTCTGAGCAGCATGCAGGAAAGTTCCAGCTGGACTGGAGATAATGATGAGGATCTGTCTCTCCACTCACCGTCAGGGAGCAGTGCTGTGGCGAAAGGCCTTGCCTCAGATTATATGAGCCAAATGGGCCAACCTGGCAGTCCAGATTAGTCCAGTATCAACAATGGCAGTTGATTTCCAAAATCTTAAGCAGAGCTCATTCACAACCATAGGGGCTGTTTCCAAATAATGCTTTTATTGCACTTTTGCCATGTTTCCTTCCCAGACTGTATGGGCTGAAGAGATTAAAACAACGATGACTTACTTGCAGCCCTCTTGAACTTTCCTGCCATCTCTGCCTTTTTTCTTACTGCAAACAAATCCATTAAGGAGAAAAAGATGAAAGAACTGAACAATACTTTCTAATGGGCAGTACCAGAAGCCTTTCATCTGAAAGCACCCTGTCCTTTTGATGAAATCATTTTTATTTCATTTTTAAAGATTATCATCAGAATCTCTATTCTATTTCATCAGAAGTGGTTACATTTAATTTTAAATGAGACTAAAGTACTATCATATGCAGCACAAACAGCTGTTTTGCAGAATTTCATAGGCAAAACACAGGACTTCAATGAGCTTAAAATGTAATTCTTCATTGGCAAAGCAAGAGAAGCACTGAAGGAATTTTATGGACAGTAATGGGCACAGTAAATAGCCTTCCCAACCTGGTGTGCTCCAGATGTTTTGAATTTCATATCTCATCAGCCACAACTAGCATAGCCAATGGTCAGAAATACAGTGGTACCTTGGCTCATGAACTTAATCTGTTCCAGGACTCTGGTCGTGACCCAAATTGGTCATGAGCCAAGTCAAATTTCCCTATAAGGTTCAATGCAAATTGGGTTAATCCATTCTGTAAATATTTTGTTTAATCACAGGGAAGACGGGCACAATCGTGGGCGCACTCGGGGGTGGGGGAGATGGGCACAGTCACAGCCATCTCCCCCACCTTCCGAGGACAATTGTGATTGCACCCGTCTTCCTTGCATGAGTGCGACTGCAATCGTGGCCATCTCTCCCCCCCTCGTCCTGCAAGCACGACCGTGATTGCAGTCACACGCATGCAGGGAAGGCGGGCGCACTCGCGATCATCACCCAATGCAGAGTTTGCAACCTGAGGAATTTTTTTTCTGAAATTTCTGTTTGCGACCCAATTTGGTCGTGAACTGAGGCATTTGTGAGCCGAGGTACCACTGTACTAAGAACTGTAATCCAGAACATCTAGAGGGCACCAGGTTAGGAAAGGATTAGAGCAGTGGTTCTGGAGAAAAGAGGGCACTGTGAAAACTGAAGAAGTCCCTCTCCTCAGCCGTCAACAGCAGCATCTACATTTCTTTTAGTGATTTAAATTGTTTTCATGGAGCCACAAGGACTAAAATCCAGCTTGTATTAGAACTAATGCAGAGAAATCACTGTCCTGTTGGTGGCTTCTCTCCATAGTGAATACGTGGAGGAGCAAGGCCTGCCACACGGCAGGAATTGTGGTCAGCCTGGAGTGACCTAGAGTGGTCTGCTCAGCCAGACTGCCGGTCCATCTCACTCAGGAAGAAACCTGCAGCTTCCAGTGGATTGCAGCTTCCCCACTAAAACCAGAAGAGAGACTAGTTGCGACATGCCTGAGGTGATGCAAATGCCCTGGCGGAGCTTAAGCCAAGGCAACGTAGCAAACCTATTGATTGCTCATCTGCCCAGGTGCCAAACAAGGGGCAATATCTGCAAACTCCTCTTTGGGCCAAAGATGAGCCTTGTGTAGACTGTCAGTCAGATGAAAGCATATTATTGTTTTGAGCAATCCTCACCCAGGCATGTGGGGAGGGGAGGGACCCAAAAAGATAGATTCTACTGGAAAAGGAAGTTCATAGTCTTTTCGTCAGTACAGGTAGAAGTATAGCTTTTCCCAGAAAGAGAGGAAGACCTGGCACAGACAGCAGAGGAATTGCCCCATAGAGAGCACAGGTTTTCAGAGAAACCAGGTGGGCCACTTAACACAGTGTTGTGGATAATTAGACAGTGTTTTTCTATTAGATTTTCCATTGGGCAATCAATTGCCACTTTAAGCCACTTAGTACTTTGCGCTCTGAAGCTGACCAGCCCTTTTCCCTGTCTGCATTAAGGATTTTCCTTAATTCCTAATCAATCTTTTTACCCTTTTCAACAAAATGTGTGGTTTGGGGGTGAAGGGGAAGGCTTACAAGGAGACATGCCACAGTCTGGGTCATGCTGCACTGTTTCAACACCCGTCGTTGCACACAACATTGCGCTAAGCCTGTACCCCAAGCAGTGCTCTTGTAAAGCCACAAGAGGACTGCAAAGAAGCCCAACCCAAGAGCCTAGCAAGATCCTTGGCCAGTTTCCAAAGGACTGAAGAGCACTTGGAAAAGGCAGGATTTGTTTCATTCTTGATGGTGGCTGCTACTGCTGCACCAGTGCTTGTGCCCTAATGAACGTTTTCCAGCTTTGTGCCATTTGGAATGAATGAAAACCATACCTGGAAAGCAAGGCTTCATAATTTGGCTATTATAGCTATTATATTTCTGATTTGAATACCACCTTTATCCTGGATAAGAGGCAATTAAGGGACTGCTTATTTTTGATAGACTCTAGAAAGTATATGTAATTAATTAAAAACCTCTAAATTCTCTCAGTGCTTTCCTCTTTTGAAAACAGAACATTGTAGTACTAGATATCTGTCCGGATTGAAACCATCCTCTTGGCTTCATTGAGTTGGGAGGCCAACCACAGTTTTGGATGGGCGATATAACAAGGCTCCTCTTAAACACAGATTATGTATTTGTGGCTTCTATCAAGTTGAAGACATCATTTATTACATGTTAATCTGCCCTCTATATACTGACCCCAGAGAGAGATTCCAGAAACCCTTGCTATCATATGAATGCAGAGATGCCATGACAGAAATAGTTCTTTTTCTTTTAGGTGATAGAAATAGCTTTATGACACATAAAGTTGCTTTGTCAGCTAAAAAATATCAGGAAGAACGAATCAAACAAAATTGCGATAAACTGCTCTGGAGATTCAGAGTGAATTTAAAGATGATTTTCTTTTCATAGTATATTTTGATGTGTTTATATTTATATTGCTGAAATTCTTTATTTTCTGTTATGCTCATTCATTTGATGTATTTGTCATGGCCTTGATTGATTGATTGAACAATCAATCCAAGTCATGCAGATAATATGTGCCCTTCCATACAGCTAAGTTTCATATTCAGTCATGTACAGTTGCAAATTAAGAATCCACTGCTTTAATATCGTTTTGCAGGCTCGAAGAAAGAAGTACAGAAAGATCAAGATACTAGCAGACCCACAATTTCATCCCCTAAGAGACTGGTTGTATCAGCAACTAAGCTACATTCGCCAGGTATTTATAAAACTGAGCACATTTGTTTTGAGGTCATTTTAAGCTTGTCAAGTTTTCAGATTTTGTTAAAAAATGTAAAACCTGAAGCTTGCACCAATACAGGGTTTGTGTTCAAGCTTCATTAAGCTGCAATAATCCAGGTGACTTCCAAGTACCAGAAGTAGGCTGTACGGTATTAAGATATAATAGCTAAATTAATTTCATTCTGGATGGCTTCTTGTAATTGTTCCTTACATGGAGGCAGAGGTGTGTGGAATTGTTCAGTTCACATTTTAATACAAGTTGCACTTTCAAAGCAACTTGCATGCTGAGTTACCCATCAAAATTTGCACTTTTCCAAATTTGCGATGGAACTCTGTAGTCCATAAATGCATCCAACAATTTAGGTGTTAGGGGGAAATGCACACAAAATGCTTATGTTAGCTAATATATCATTCAAAGATACATTTGGTTGCATTATTTCACCAAGTGAGAAATAACTTGGTGAAATAATATATCCAAATGAATGTACTCGGCGAAAGGTGCACCAATATGCATACAAATGGTTTTGCTAACCCTTTTCTCAAAGTTTGGCACAAACTGAAATTAATATTGAAAACAGGAGAAATTTGCCAATACTTACCTCACATATCCTTTGTGTACATTTTATTGTGTGACGTGCCTAAATCTTTGGATTATTAGTGCCTTATTGGTGCTTAAAATGTTCTGGCTAGCAAAGATCAAATACATCTCAGCATTGGTAAGATACTTCCAAAGAATGTCCACTGAGTGGACCAAGAACCAGAATAACCTTGCAGTTTGAGAAGCACATAGATAGGAATGTGTCTCTCCTTGAGACTGTTTGGGCACTTTTCATTTAAAGGACAATGTCTGCTACTCACAGCCTGTGTGCATTTGATGAGCACACAGCAAAGGAAAGAGGCATCTCCAGTGGACAACATTTCCAGCAATGGTTCCCTCTCAGGCCGTATCCCCCACCCCAACTGATGACAGCTTCTTTCTCTTCTTTATCCAACTTCCCAGGGGTCCCCCCTACTTTTTCTCTTATTTCTAGGAAGGAATGAGGTTGTTGGTTCATTTTCTGGTAGAGCATTAAGGAAACTTAAAATGGTTACCCGTTGGTTCTGAATTTCCCCAGACCTGGTTTCCCATCTCATAAAGGGACACATATTACAGTTGCCAGCTTCCTCTGCTGATCTGAGGGGAGTGAGCAAGAAGAGTTAGCAGACAGGAGTGGAAAGTACTGATTTGGTTGGTTGCCATATAGAGACATAAACACCCTTGTTGTAAAAAAAATTTAAAAAGACTTGCTAATTGCAAGCATAGGCAAAAACCCCAGTATACATAAGCTATGTTTAATGCAAACACTCACAAACCCCATTACCTCTTCTATGAAGTTTAACCTATTTTGACAGTTAATATGCGAGGAAAATGTTAATTCTAATATGCCGACACACATGCATCAGATACTGGACTCACTCCAGCTTTGTCCTTTAGATCCACTTCAGAAGCCTCACTTTAACATAGTTTAAAAGGCACTTAACATGATGGGGTGGGCTGCATCAGGGAACCCTGGAAGAAAAATATAGGTTACTGTTCTACTAGGGGTAATGGAAAATTACATTCAGTCTGCATTTTTAAGGAAACTGAACTAATTTTTACTTTGTAATCTATTGCATAGATTACTGTACATATATCATATTTTTCTGTATTTTGTGGTACATTTCTCAGTTTGAAAATGCCTACAGAAATGTATGTTTCAGGGAGAAAAGCATGCAATTTAAATGTCAATCTTTGTGCAGTTCTTTTTAAAGAAATCACAGAAAATGGGATGAAGCAGACTTAAGAATGCAAGGCTGCAAAACTGATGCAGATTGGAAACAGACTAATCCATTTGTCCCTAAATGGTTTGTGACTCCTTAAGTCTGCAATGTTTCACTGATTAATCAGTTACATAAATTAGGTTGAACCTTGTTGATCAGTTTTTTAAAGTGCCACTAATTAATCAATAGGTAGATTTCTTTTTTTAAACAAGAAGTTTTACTTTTATCTAAATAATTAACCAAAACCAAGTGGGAGTGAGGGAAGGTGGGCACCATCATTGAAAAGTCATCCCTCCTCTCTCACATACAGGAGGAAATGTGTTTATTCAGGATCAATGTAAATATGCACATTAAAGAAGCTTCCTCAGGACCCCACAAACAGCATCAAGAGGAGTACAGTGCATGGGGAGGCGATTAGGATTTCCCCCACCAACACGATCCCAGTTAAAATAATCTCCCCCAAACTAATGATAGCCCTGGGAAGGAAATTTTTCTGCCCATGGGAGCTTCATTTTCATCACGTATAGCAGAGAAAAGTTATATTTGCTGAGATCATTCCAAAACTGAAAAAAAAAATGGGTTGAAGAATTTTTACCTGTGTACTACAGTCCTGTGCCACAGCTACCCATGGTAACTATTTAGGGCTTAATCCTATGGGTTGCACCCTCCAGATTCAGTGACTGTCATGGCTGGTTTCCTCCCGCTACTTCCAAGCAGGCCAGGACAAAGGTTTTCTAAAAGTTATGCTGGATTTGACCAGCTGGGCTGGTATCCTGATCTTAGGCTAGCAGGTACCCCAGTGAAGGCTGAGAAATATTCATGAATGTCAAAGAGAGAAATCAGGCCAGGCCAGAGGTCAGTTACAGGGCCAATCAGTTGGAGTGTCTGGTGCTTGTCAATGGTCAGCCTCTTAACCTGCTGCTGTATGGTCAGACTAATGCTGTTGGGGCCATCTCCTCCCATATCAGCCAGCTCACTTTCCCACAGAACTTGAACCTCTCTGATTTTCAGTGATTGCCTGGCTTATCTCTGGGTCCACTGGACTTGGAAAGACAGCTCTGGATTTTGACCCTTCCTTTTCTGAATTGGAATCTAATTCAATAACCTTTGAAAGTTACATTACAGAATTGGAATTTGCTAAGCTCCTCCTAGTAGATGGTTTTTGCCTCTCTATCCTCCATATTTTCTTTTCTTTTCCTTAGCCAGGACTCTGAGCATGTTTATGTAGAGTGCACTAACTGGAATTGAAAAGGCCATAGGATTCTTTGGATCCTGGCCTCTCCCCTCTCTGTCCACTGGCATGCTCCCCTCTGACCTCTTTGAGGCAGCTTTTGTGACCCTAGGAAGCAGTTGATGGGGATTTTCAGCTGCAAGACAGCAGGGAGAAGGATTCTGGATCCTGGACTCCCAAGGTCAGAGCAGCCCTGCAGGGTGGACTCCAAAGAATACACTGTGTCCAAATCTGGGCACCAAGATTCAAGAAAGATGAAGAAAAATTAGAAAGGATCCAGAGGAAAGCAATAAAAATGGTCCAGGGTTTGGAAAGACTGCCCTACCCTCATATGAGGAGAGACTGAGAGAACTGGGCATGTTCAGCCTTGAGAAGAGTAGACCAAGGGGGACATGATATCCTTCTAGAAGTTCCTCAAAGGCTGTTACAAAGAGGAAGGTCAAGATCTCTTCTTGCTGATGCCAGAGTGTAGGACACAGAATAATCAATTCAAGTTGCGACAACCCAGATTCAGGCTGGACATCAGAAAAAGCTTCCTCACTGTCAGAGCAATATAACAGTCTAAAAACAGTCTATTTTTATTCAGGACAGTTGATATTCCTATTTAATCAATTAAAATTCATACAATGAATGGGTTACAATTTCTTTGGACAGACCTAGTTATTTCTTCTATGAATTGTAGGGGTTTAAAATTCAATTCCACAAAGGACCCTGTCAACGTTTAATTCTAAAAAAAAATCAAATCTTAGCCTTAGCATTTAGTGACCACAATCCAATACTCAGTTTCAAATGCTTCAGTACCATCTATTTTACTATGAATTAAGTGTCCATCACCTTGCCCTAGATGGTTGCAGGTTACTAAATTTCAATAGGATTTAGAGAACAACAGCAAAGACACCACATTTTTATGGACTTCCAAAATACATTGTAATGGAATTCTAACACTTTGTAGGATCAGGCCCTTTGTTTATAGAATGGTTTCCAGTTTTTAAAATGAATTTGTGAGTACTGCAATCAATTTGCATTTCAATGCACATTTACCCAGTCTGCATCTCCTGAACTTATGCATGAACCAAAACACAGTTAGATGTAGCAATTGTTACTTTTCTGTAGTTTGTGGTTCATCACACATACACACATGTGCAAATTTGAGCTCAAAAAGTATGTAAATTTGGAACAGTGCATGGAAATGGGCACCAAAACACATGATACAATAGGGAAAATGCCTTGTGAAAATGTGTATATTTGAAAAAATATGTTCATATAATGAGAAAATATATCTTGTGTATTGCAACAAGCAGGTTTCTATTGGCTGAAAGAGTGCAGCGTTTAGAGATGGGGCTGTTTAAACATCACCAGCTAACCTGCTTCTGAATTTATAGTGTCCAACTGTGGAGGATGTGGGGTTGCTGCTTATCTGTCCCCTAGATGGTCTCCCCAGTAAAATTGTGGTAAATGAAAAGTGCAACATGGCCTCATTGTATTCGGCATTGCCATGTCCCTAGAGGTGGTAGCTAGGGAAATCAGGCTCAGGCTGAACTGCATCGTCTACAGAAAAAAATATCTTTCTACGAAGTTTAAAACATTTTTAAACAGTCATCACGTCTGTACCTATTCATGTACCTTCCACTCCCCAGAATTTCACAGCGGTTAAAGGATCACAGCAAAAGAAATTCAGAGGCACTCCCAGCATCATTAGTACATTCCATGTCCAATTCTCTGCGTGTGAAAGCCACCAAATGGGAAAAGAAAATGCATATCAAATTGTTCTTTTAGCTCCAGATGAACAGAGGAGTTCAGATTTATCCCTAAGGATAAAAATCACAGTTTAAATTACAAGGACATTTCAGAGCATTTCAGAAGGACAACCGAGAGACTCACACTTCAAATGCTATAAGGCGGCAGGGAATTGGTGAAGGTTTGGGACAATGTTTCAGAGAATTTTC